ATACATACTTGCATACATTCATGCATGCATGTATGCATACATACATACATACCTACACACATACATACACACATACATGCATACATACATGCATACATACATACATACAAATAAACATGCATACACTTAGGTAAATACATACATGCATACATACATACATACACATCCATACACACATACATACACATACATACATACATGCATGCATACATACATACATACATTACAGAACTACATACACATACATACATACATACATACATACATACGTACGTACGTACGTACGTACATGCATGCATGCATACATACATGCATGCATGCATGCATACATACATGCATACACACCAACATATCGTAATGTGGTCAGATGTCGGAAAATCCTCCTGCCTTCGTGGAGGCGTATCGAGGTTGTCAGTGACTGCTTGGAAAATAATGATACACAAACATACACGTTTGGAGGTTCGCGCGGATTCCTTGGATCGGAGCTGGACCCCCAAGCGGCGCCTCTGCCGCCTCTGGCGCCTTCCGCGCGCCAGGGAGGGGAGTTCAGCGCCGATGCAAAGAACCTGGGCGGACCTCCGAACGCTTGCGCTCATACTTTCCTGACTCGAAGGTCGAGGTTTTTGAATGCTTGTCCGCGCGCCAGGGAGGGGAATTCAGCGCCAATGCAAAGAACGCGGGCGGACCTCCGAACGCTTGCGCTCATACTTTCCTGACTCGAAGGTCGAGGTGTTTGAATGCTTGTACGTGTGTGTGTGTATGTGTGTGTGTGTGCGTGTGTGTGCGTGCGCGTGTGTGCGTGTGTGCGTGGTGTGTGCGTGTGTGCGTGTGTGCGCGTGTGTGCGTGTGTGTGTGTGTGTGTGTGTGTGTGTGTGTGTGTGTGTGTTAGTGTGTTAGTGTGTGTGTGTAAATGTGTTTGTGTAGCCAGCAGTCCCGAGGCTTCCAGCCCAGGGTCGCCTCGCCGCCTCTTGAAATCGGCGGTCGCCTGCTTTCCCCCCTCCCCCCCCCCGGCTGTCCCTGGGCCGATCTTCCACCACCGCTGCCACAGGTAGGACGGGGGAGAACGGGGGAGGGGAGGTCCTCCTCCTCCTCCTCCTCCTTCTCCTCCTCCTTATCCTTCTCCTCCCCCTCCTGCCCGTGGCAGCGGTGGTGGGACAAAATCGGCCCATGCCTCATCCTCGCCTCTTCTGCCCTGCTCTGCCGCTCGCCCCTCTCGGCCATGCCTGCGTCCTCCCTGCGCCTCGCCTCGCTACTCTCGCGCGTGTCGGCCACTACTGGCCTCTTGGCACCGCCTCGCTCCTCTCGTCTCTGCCCCCCCCCCCCCCGCAGCCCGGGCCCTGGTGTGTACACATGGCACGGCTCATCCCCCTGTGGTGGATGCCTGCCACCGGCTTCTGAGTGCGCCGGCCGCGCGCACGCTTCTCCGCTTTGTCCGACCTTCTGTTCCTCGAGGCTGCGCGCGAGGCCGCGACACCAAAACGAGTGTGTGTGTGTGTGTGCGCGCGCGTGTACTAGCCCGTCTTGCAAGATCAGTCAACACCGAATCGGGACATCGGATCGGGCCAGGACGTGTATTGAACAGGGCCGCACTGGCACAGAGGCGGAATCGAAACGGGCCCAGCCTGGAGTCCTCCCCCCCTGGGCCTCCGTGGACCTCCAGGGGACCTGAAGAGGGAAGCTCAGATCTCTGGCGTTCCCCAAACGTTGTGGCCTGAGGAGACTGGGCCATCGACAAACCAAGAGATCTAACGTAGTGAACAAAACAAAACGGGTTTTGTTCCTCCATTTGCGGCTTCTAGAGGCCCTTGCCAGGCCTCAAGATAATGGAAAACGACTCGGGATGAAAAACCAGCTCCCGGAAATGGGTCGAGACTTCTAGAGACCCCGCACTAGAACAAATCAAGACGTCGCATCTCTGGAAAGGAAACCAACAATGACATACACATAAAACCTCAGAGGTCCGCGCAGATTCCTCCAGCGCCACCCCGCGAACACTCGCTCCCAAGCCTCGTCGTCGTCGTGGCCGCCGCCGCCGCCACCGTCGCCGCCGTCGTTATCGTCGTCGTCGCCGCCGTCGTTATCGTCGTCGTCGTCGTCGTCGTCGTCGTCGTCGTCGTCGTCGTCGTCGTCGTCGTCGTCGTCGTCCTCGTCGTCCTCGTCGTCCTTGTCCTCGTCCTCCTCCTCGATCTCCTCCCCGTCGTCGCCGCCGCCGCCGTCGTCCGCGTCTGCTCGGGGAGGCATCCGTCGCCTCTCTCGGCCCCCGCGGGCCTCCTGCCAGCCTCCGCGGGCGGGGCCGCCCCATCGCCCGACTCCTCCGCCGCCTTCCGCGGGCCGATCCGCCGAGGGCGAGGGGTCCGGAGGCTTCGGCTCGTGCAGCACCGGGGCCCCATCCCGAAAGCCAGGGTGTCCGCCAGGCCGCCGCCGCGCCGCTCCGTGGGAGAGGCGGGAGCGATGCGGTGCCCGGGCGAAGGGAGGCGCCGCGTCCTTGGCGCAGCCGTCGTTATTGAGCATGTTCTTGAACTCGTCCACGCCGATTCTGCAATCGCCGTCCAGGTCCGTGTCGGGGGTCCATTTCAGCAGCACGCGCTTCACGGCCGCCACCTGGGGAGTCGAGGGAGGACTCCAGGGGCGTCCCCCCCCCTCCTCCCCGTCCTCCTCCTCCACCTCCTCCTCCTTCGTCGTCCTCCTCTTCCTCCTGCTTATCCTCCTGCTCATCCACCACCCCGTCCTCGTGGGAATAGGATGACTGGTACAGCGGGCCTGAAACCCTGAACCAGAGAACCTTGTCGTCTCTCGGGAGGCCGCTTTTTCCTTACACCGGCCTCCGCGGGCCTTCCGCCGGCGGAGCCAGCCTCGTCGCACTTCCGCCAGCTTCCGCCGCCTTCCACCGAGGCAGAGATGGCAACTCCTTTGATCAACGCCTCATGTGCCGCGAGCGCACCTGGCTTCCCCCCCCTCCCCATCGGCCTCCTCTCCCACTGCGCTGTCCTGTCCGCCGCTCGCTGGCAGCAGGGCCGTCGGCGCGGAACAAGCGCGCAGGCCACCTCCTCCACCCCTCCCGCTCGTGAGACAGCACGAGCGGGCCCGCTCCCGTGTGTTATCTTACAGTGGAGGCCAGTTCACAAGAAACCTCCCACAAGAAACCCAACCCTGAGACCTCGGGACGTCCATTGATTCTTGGTGTGGGAACGCCACGCTTCCCGTAGAAAAAACAATCGAAGCCCAAGAAATCCAGGGCACCCTGGGGGCAGGCAGGGTGCCTTGGCATGTGCTGCCACTGCACCTCCTCCCACGCCTCTCCCTCCTCCCCCTCGCTGCCCGTGCCCGTGCCCCATCCACCTCGGACCCACCCCCCTTGTCGGGAGGGAGCCACGAAGAGGAGAGGGGGAGATCGGTGCCCAAGCGGGGGCTGGGGCGAACCGTTGCCCCCCCCCCCCCCCCGCACACTGATCGTATGGCGCAGCTCGCCGCAAGGCGAGGCCCAGGCTCCCTCGTGCGTCGAAGATGCCCCGGGCCCCATCTGGGCAGGGGGGGACCCCACGGCCTCCTGGGTCGAAGTGCCATCTTCTCCAGAGCGTGCTTGCACTGAGGGGCTCTTGCTTGGGTGTCCCGAGGATTTGCATGGCTCCGCCGAGGCTTCGCATCGGGCCAGCCAGTGGGCGCCTCATGTGAGCGCCTCGCGCGCTGGGTGGGTGAGCGGAGGTTGCGCCAGGTGCCCGCCCGTGGGCGCCTCGTGCGCTGGGTGGGTCAGCCGAGGTTCGCTCGGTGCCCGCCCGTGTGGGCCTTGTGCGCCAGGCGGCCGCATTGCTTGCACCACAGAGTTGTTTCCATGTAGCGTGCACTGCACTGCTTACACCACATCGCCGACACCATCCAGGCTGCTTGCACCGCAGAGCTTGCACCTTACGTTTTGCACTACATGGCGTGCGCCACAAGGCCTGCATCACAGAGCTGGCGCCGCATAGCTGACACCTGCAGGGCATAGACTGTACCACATCGCTTACACCACACTGCGTGCACCTCATCTCTTGCACCACATAGGTCGCGCAACCTAGCCTACAGCACGTAGCTTGCACCTCATAGCTGACAGAAAACGTGCAACAACTTACGTTTTGAGGTCCACGCTGCCAACCCCATATGGCATACGCGGCATGCTTCGGACAACCAACGGAGGTCTCAGTAGCAAGAGCACAGGTGTCGGTGTGGTGCTGCGTAATCGCTTTGCAAGGTGGAAGAGGCAGGGGCCAATAGCTGAACGTCACACTTTAGCTTGTCAGCTTCCTGGTAACCAGAACGGTCGTGTTGCCCCCTCGTGCCTCTGTATCGTCATACCTTTTCCCCATCAAAACGCCACAGCAGCCAGAACAAGACACCATGCACGATCGACGGAAAACAGCGAAAACACACGACATCCCAACCCCAGACAATATACCAAGATCCTCAATCAGGGGGCCCAACTGTAGATCACACAATCCTCCAAGCACTCGAACGATCCAGTCCCCCAGCAGAGAAAGGCCACACACAGTACAAGCTGTTGGTCACGATTGTGAGCCCACAGAATTGCACGGCCCCCTCGAACTCATCCAACTGGAGGGGCGAGAGACAGAGAGCACGCACTCACACACTTTTTGCGTCGGCGGCTAGGCACAGGGACTGCGCTGGCGCATAGGCGCACACACACACACTCACATACATACACACACACATACATACACACAAACACACAAACACAAACACACACACACACACACACACACGCACACGCACACGCACACGCACACGCACACGCACACGCACACACACACACACACGCACACACACACGCACACGCACACGCACACGCACACGCACACGCACACGCACACGCACACGCACACGCACACGCACACGCACACGCACACGCACACGCACACACACACACACACGCACACACACACACACACACACACACACACACACGCACACACACACACGCTTTTCGCGTCGGGGCCCCGCGCGCGGCGACGGGGCGCAGAAAGTGGAGTGCAAGCAGCGGGCCGCGCGCGTCTACGCCCGGCCGACCTCCCAGAGACCGCTTAGGGGCTCACAACAGGCAGCAGCCTTCACCGTCCGGCCCTGGACGCAGGGGAGTGGAGGGCGTGCCGACGAAGCTTCGGTGAGGGTGCAAGGTCACATGAGACAACTGGGACTGAAGGCGGGGAGAGCGAGCACCAGCGTGGACCGACAAGGGCGTGCGTAAAGAAGCGACGTGAAGCGGGAGCTGAAGGCGGCGGAACCACAAAATCGCAGGCCGGAAGAGCCGCGAAGGCCAGCGGAGCGGAGCCGGGCGGCGCGCCGGGAAGGGCGGCGGCCGAGGGCGGCCCCGTAGGAAGCGGCACAGGCCGGCCCCCCCAGGGGGGGCCAGGGCAGGGCCAGGGGGAGGGAGGGGAGAGGGAGGGGAGAGGGAAGTGGAGGCGGACAAGGGACACGAGTCCACGTGCACGTACACGCGCACGTGCAAGTGCACGTACACGTACACACATTCGCACACGCACACATTCACGCACACACACACACACACACGCACGCACGCACGCACGCACGCACGCACGCATGCATGCACGCACGCACATGCAAGGGCACACCACAGGCACACGCCCCCCCCCCCCCAAAAAAAAACCACACACACACAAAACACACAAACACACACAACACAACACACACACAACGCACAACACACAACACACCACACACAAACGCACACATGCACACAATGCACACACACATACACAGCGCGTCGGCCGCACATCTCGCTCGCCTGGGACAGTACGCGCGCACTGTCCTCACGGGCGCGGCCCACCGCCCGTTCGCCCACGGAAAAAAAACACAGACACTTGCGCCACAACCGCTCGTGTGAAACCCCGCTCGTTCTCTGGAGCACTCGACATCCTGAGCGCGACAAGCGCAGATGGGGTTAGCGAACGGGGTGGGGTGGGCGATGGAAAGAAGAAGAAGAAGAAAAAGAAAAAGAAACATAAAAATACGAGGTACGTAGGGATGAAAAGGGATTGGAGGAAACGATGGGGGTGCGAGAAGGTGGCGATGGGGGGGGGAGGAGAAAGAAGTGGGAGGAAAAACGAGGGGAGGGGAGGGAAGGGTGGAGGATGGGGGGAGGATGGGGGGAAAAGCAAAAGTCACGAGGGCGGGAAGAAAGGGAGGCGAGGGCAAGACGGGGAGAGAGTTTAACGAGAAATCTGAATTTGTAGGTATACGTATATAGGGGGGGGAGAGAGAGAGAGAGAGAGAGAGAGAGAGAGAGAGAGAGAGAGAGAGAGAGAGAGAGAGAGAGAGAGAGAGAGAGAGAGAGAGAGAGAGAGAAAGAGAGAGAGAGAGCAGAGAAGAGAGAGAGAGAGAGAGAGAGAAGAGAGGGATAAAGAAGGAGGAGAGAGAGAGAGAAAGAGAGAGAGAGAGAGAGAGAGAGAGAGATGATAGAGAGAGAGAGAGAGAGCCACGTAACAACAACACACACATATACATATACATATATGCAGATATACAGAGAGAGAGAGAGAGAGAGAGAGAGAGAGAGAGAGAGAGAGAGAGAGAGAGAGAACAACAACAAATCAAAATAAAGAAAGATTATCCCGGCAAAGCAACCTAACGACGATGTGTAGAAGCATAGCTGGAAACATTGCCCGTGGTATTCATGTAAGAGTGCTGTTGTCGAATTCTGGTGTTCTCGCAGTCGCATCCGGATTCGCAGCGGCAGTCGCAGTGGCAACATCAGCGGCAGTCGCAGTGGCGCTGCCAGTAGTTGCAGTAGCAATAGCTACACTAGCAGCAGCGACAGCAGCAGCAGCAGTAATAGTAACAGTAGTAGTAGCAGTAGAAGTAGTAGTGATGGTAGTAGTGGTAACAGTGAAGTAGTAGTAGTAGTAGTAGTAGTAGTAGTAGTAGTAGTAGTAGTAGTAGTAGTAGTAGTAGTAGTAGTAGTAGTGGTAGTAGTAGTAGTAGTAGTAGTAGTAGTAGTAGTAGTAGTTGTTGTTGTTGTTGTAGTGTGTGGAGTCTTTGTTGTAGCTTCGCTCTCCGCTTGCTTGAAGGCCTGGAGCTCGGCGTCCTGCTCCGGGGAGAACTGGTTGGCCTTCCGTGCTTTCCGGACTTTCTCTGCCAGCTGCCGCTCTGCGAGGCTACGCCCGGCATACTCCTTCGGGTGGCGGCCGAGGTCTCGCACTTGCTGCATGAGCTCCTCGGTCTTGTCTCGCTTTTGCTGCATGAGCTCCTCGGTCTTCTGCTTCCGCTTGAGCTCCTCGGTCTCCGTCTGCTGATCAGCACAGCCCAGGGCCCGCAGTTCATGCAAAATGTCTTTGGGGATGCGGTCGCGATGGTCCGAGAAACGTTTGGCCAACTTGTTTTCGGCCCGTTCTTGTTCGGACGTTCCTTTATTTCGCTTCGGTATCCGGCCGAACTGCTTCACGTGCTCGACGAGCGTTTGCAGAGGACCGCTCAATGCAGCACGCTGAGGAGCAGCGCTGTTCCCTGCCGCAGGCTGAGGAGCACCGCTGTTCAATGCAGCAGGGTCAGGAGCACCGCCGCCAGACCGAGAACTATCAGCATGTCCTGGCATTAAGGTGTGCAGTAGGCGCTGCGCAGTTCCTTTGAAAGGAAATCTTCGAAAGCAGGGCTGTAGCCAAGAAGGCTACGGGGACGATGATGATGATGAAGATGATGAGTCTTGGAAGTCTGGGAAGTGGAAGAGCACGAAGTGGCGTACAGTTGGCTCCGGGCATTCAAAATGTGGCCCGGGAGTGAAGTTCTGGGAAGTGGAAGAGCACGAAGTGGCCTACAGTTGGCTCCGGGCATTCAAAATGTGGCCCGGGAGTGGTGTTCTGGGAAGTCCAAGAGCACGAAGTGGCCTACAGTTGGCTCCGGGCATCCAAAATGTGGCCCGGGAATGGAGTTCTGGGAAGTCGAAGAGCACGAAGTGGCCTACAGTTGGCTCCGGGCATCCAAAATGTGGCCCGGGAATGGAGTTCTGGGAAGTCGAAGAGCACGAAGTGGCCTACAGTTGGTTCCGGGCATTCAAAATGTGGCCCGGGAATGGAGTTCTGGGATGTCGAAGAGCACGAAGTGTGCGATTGTTTGCTTAAAATGAGCCCGGCTCTCGCCTGTCCGGCTCCCGCCCAAACCCCCCTGGGGAGTCATCGGATGCTCTCTTTTGACCCCATTAGAAACCTATCAGTCTTCGCTGTTAGGTAAAAAACAAACAGAACGAGAGGGAGATGGGGCAGAGGCCCTGGCCGTCCTTGCCGCCATCTTCGCCGACCGCGCTGCCATCGCTGGTTCCATCCGCCCCCACTACCCGGCGTCAACGCCGAGGCTGCCACGGGTCGAACTTCACTTGGGAGGGCTTGCTGGACGCAGCGCGGAGACATATTCAGTATCCACAGCGTCGTCGCTGGCGATCTCGAAGGAGGAATTCGTCCCCTCTACTTCTGTCTGATGCTTAAATGTCTTGAACGACCGTAGCAGATACGATTGCGGCTCCGAGCGGCCAACCCCCACCCCCATCAAAAACTCTGCATGCTGTACTGTCGGTCGACGCGCTGGAAGCGTCCGGGAAACGGACCGAAAGGACGAGATAACCTGCCAAAGGCGTGCCTGCGTAGAATCTTGGCTGGGTGACCGCAATAAAAGACCTGAAACTGAACGAGGTCGAGACTGACGTAATCTGGAGGCAGCACCGTCAATGCGAAGAGACCCCTTCTTGCTCCATGCGCCAGGACCGTCTTTTCATCCTGAATCGTTTTTCGACGGGTCCGGGGCCTGGACACGGCCCCCCAGACGACGAACATCGTGAATGCAACGCTGGCCGCGACTTGCCCTCGAAGATCGACTGACCCGGGTCAACCCAGATCAGGGTCAGTCAGGCTTTGTCAGGTCCTGCGAGATCCTGCAAGATCCTGCATGATCCTGCACCCGAGCGCGGGTCAATGCACCCCTGGCTCTGCAGGATCCTGCAAGATCCAGCGCTCTGGCTGACCCCCGTCTGCATCGACCCGTCCCTTGAGCCCAGCCTTCCGCCAGCGGAACTGGCCCTGGCGTTGCGTTCGTCGGCCTCCCTCTGAGGGCGAGAGGTCAAAGGTTTATCGATCCCTCTATAAGGCGGGGCCCTTCCTGGCTCTGCAGATCCTGATACCCTGGCTCTGCAGGATCCTGCAAGATCCGGCGCTCTGACTGACCCCCGTCTGCATTGACCCCCGTCTCTAGAGGCCTCTTAGATGGGGTCGGAGCAGGCGGGGTCGGAGGATCGCGCAGCATCGGCGATGCATCGGCGATGCGGCGCGGTGCATCTCTTGAGCCCCGATGCCCGCGACAACCTGGGGAGGCCCTGGGCGGGCAAGGCCTGGTTCGTCTCCTTCTCGACGGACGCGACCACCGCGACGACCTCCACGAGGACGCCGATCAGCATGTTCATGATCGGCCGGGCTTCCCCACGGAAGCCCCAACCCGCGGGCGTGTGTGTGGGGGGGGCAGCCCCAGGCCGCGTGGGAATCGGGGTCCCGAGCGGTCGGGGCTCTCCTTCTTTCATTATTTCTTTCTTTCTTTTTCTCTCTCTCTCTCTCTCTCTCCCTCACTCTCCGTCTCTCCCACATCCGCCCTCCTCCCTCATCCCCCCCGCATCCCCCCTCCTGGTCCCTCACCTCCCCCTGACTCCTCCCCCCTCCCTCCTCCATCCTTCTTCCCTCCTCCCTCCTCCCCCATTCTCTTCTCCTCCCTCCTGCCCCTATCCCTCACCCCTCATTCCTTGTCCGCCTGCTTTTCCCTCCTTCTCATCCTCCCCCTCCTCCTGGTCTCCTCCTCATCGTCCTGCCGCTCCTGGACCTCGGGTAGCCTCGCTCCTCTGGTGAAGCAGCGAAGATCTGCTTCGCCAGCAGACCCCTGCAAAAACACCTCTCGATCCTCCTCCTCGTCGATAGGGAAGGAGGGATGGTGGAGGCGGAGGAGAAGGGGAAAGAGGAGAAAGAGGAGGAGAAGGCGGAGCAGTAGAACGAAGATGGGGAAAGGAGCTGCCCACGGCCGGTTCGGACACAGGCGCCGGCCCTCCGAATGGTCACGTAAGCCAGCAGGATGAACATGAAGAAGAACACCTGGCGCGGGCAAGTGCTGCTCACGACGCTCGACGGTCGATAGAGGCCTCTCAGATGGGGTCGGGGTTGTTGGGGTCGGAGGATCGCGCCGCATCGCCGATACATCGCCGACGCATCGGCGGTGCGGCGCGATCCTCCGACCCCATGTGCTCAGACCCTATCAGGGAGGCTTGAATATTGTTCCCCATCACAAGCTGTTCGGTTCAAAGAAAACCAGCTCCCGACCCGCCTCGCAAACCCTGCGCACCGCGCTCTCCAGGCCCATGGTGATCCCTGGGTATCCCGCCTCGCGTCTTCGACGAATGACGACTGCATGCCGGCGCCGCCAGGCCCCAAGGGGCCTCGAGTTTCCCGGGTATCCCGCCTCGCGTTCTCTGGTCAGTATCGCTCGGACCAAAATATTTGAACGTTTGTTCCCTTGAAGTTTCCGACGGGTCTTGAGCTTGGGCTTCAGGGGGCGTGCACGGAGCAGGAACCAGGCCAGCGTTGCATTTCTACCCGGCGAGGCACTCGTCTCTCAAAAGAACGATTGCCGTAGTGAAGCGGAACCTGACCACGCAAGAAAAGAAAGTGCCGCTTCTCTGGATTTGCGTGCCCGAGCGCGCAAGTACTTGAATCCAAATCGAAATCGGGTGCACATGGAGTGCCGTCGCATGGCTTCCCCAAGGACATCTAGGTGGCTGCGATCAGTATTCTGTGGCTGCATGGCTGCCTGTGGTTGCCTTTGGTTGACTGTTGCGCGCGGCGTGTGCGCGTATGTGTGTGAGTGTGTGATTGTGCGTGTGCGCGTGTGTGCGGCTATGTGCGCGTGTGTGTGTGTGTGTGCAGAGTGCGTACAAGGGGCGGGCGGGAGTCGGGGGTGTGTACGGTGATCGTGCCGAGCGTGTCCCGGGCGGACGGGGGGGGGGTACGGTGCGCGTGCCGAGTGTGCGGGCGCGAGGGTGGGGAGGCGCACGGTGCGCGTGCCGAACGTGTACTGGGCGGGCGGAGGGGAGCTTCGCTGCGCACGGTGTGTGTGTGTGTGTGTGTATGGTTGTTGTTCCACGTGTGTCGTGTGTACGGGCTGAACGTGATGGCCAAACCTTGTTTGTACGTGTGCGAGTTCAGCGTGGCTTGGACGTCGTGCCCGTTGTCATCCTTGCTGCGCTTTGCGCCCTACGTTTGCGTTGCGTGTTGTGTGTATGTGTGGTATGAGATGGGTATCATTTGTTGTATATTGAATAGTGTGTCTTATACGTTGTACGTGTGCGTGTCCGTCTTGAGGGCCATCTTGAGTACTCCCTCGACCGTGTGGCGGGCTTCTTGGGGCATCATGGGCTGCTCTTGTGGGATGCGTGCACTGCGTGTGTGTGTATGTGTGTGTGTGTGTGTGTGTGTCTGCGTGTGTGTGTGTGTGTGTTTGGATTCTGGTGTGTGTGTTTGGATTCTGCTTGGGCTCTATTGAGAGCTCACGGGGGCGCCCTTCATCGCTCTCGTGAGTCTCGAGGACTTCTTGGGGTGCCCTTGGGGTCATGTGGGGCCCACTCGGGCCATTTTGCGGGAATCTTGACGCCGTCTTGGGCACTCATGAGGGCCCTTCCCCAATGTTGGAGGATCTCTTAAGCGAAACGGCAGTTTCGACGTCCGAACACAACTCTTTGACCTCTTCCATGTGTGTGGAGGGTCCATCGAGCGAAACTGCTGGAAAGCTTGAACAGTTGCCACGCGATAGAGCGCTTGCGGCCTCGAGCCAGGGGCGTCTCGCGGCTTCGCACTGGTTCTTGTTCAGTTTACTATTACAACCCAACGCCTTCTCGTTCGGAGATGGCGCACTCCGTCATCCGCAGATACCCGCTCGTCCCCCCCCCCGCTTCCTCGTCCTCGTCCTCGTCATCCGGGTTGACAGCCGCAAGCGGCCCCCGGGACCGGTCGGTAGTCTATGAACAACCTGGGGAAACGCAAGGAGGGGCGCCGAAAGCAAACCCGTCAGGCACCCTGCCCGAATTCTTGGCGCCCCGCTTCCCCATCCGCCAGAACCAACATCTCGTCTAACGGAAGGGTCCCCCTTACAATCTCCTTGCTGTACCCCTGGCGCACCCGGAGCCTGCAGATCCAGCCTCCGTCGTCTCCAAGATGCCGCATGTGCCTTCCGAGACGTCTCAATAAGGGCATGAGCACGGCCGAACTGCCTCATAAGCGCTCAAGATTGCCGCGAGACGGCCCAGGAGGCTTCAAGACGCCCCAAGAAGTCAAGAAGAGAACCCCCAAGAGAGCCTCAAGAGGCTAACCTCCTTGATTGCCGTGAGTATGGTTTTGGACATGTGAATTCTGTATCGTTCTCTCCTCTCCGACATGCCACAAGCCCCAGGCGATCCGCGAGGCACCTCTGGACCGCCCCGCCACGGCCCCAGCAGGAAGCCCCGAGAGAGGGCACAGGGACTGCCCCAGAGGGCCCGACGGTCGAGGGGCCTCCCAAGACGGGCCCACAAGGCCTCCAGGAGGCCCCTGGCGAGAGGCCCGCGAGGGGGACGGTCCGGGGCCTGGGGGGCCCTCCCCGACAAGACGAGCCCAAGACCCCCAGCATGCCCCAGGGAGGCCCCCGAAGAAGCCTCCAGACGGCCCGCAGGAGCAGCCAGGAGCCCTCAAGAGGCCCCCACGAAGCCGCCCCAGAGGCCTCCAAGACGCCCCCCAGGCAGTCCCGCAGCAGACGCGGAGGAAGAGGACACATCCGCCGCAGCGGCACGCCAGGGCCGCACGGCGGGAGGCGGCCCACAGCGCACACGGTATCGGAAGCCGCACGCCCGCTGTGGTGGGGGGTCGGCGGAACGGCGAGCGCCTCTCGAGTTCGCCGGCCCACCGGACCGAGGGGCGTGTGCGCCTTGATTGGTTTTTCATTCCCGCGCTCGCGGGCTGGGCGGCTGCCTCGCGACCACCTGCGGACCCCCTCGGTCCGGCCTGGCCACCACCGGGGCAGGGCGGGGCGGGTGCTGCCTCGGGGCAACCCCGGCAGAGGAGGAGACTTGATGGGAAGAGTTCCCTCCTGGGCGTGAGAGGCCTCTGCCATTCGAGCTCGTCTTGGACGGCTTCCAGACAGCGTCCAAGACGAGCTCGAATATTCCGTAGCATTCTCAAGACGCTCTCGGGGGCATTCTGGCCCCATTTTACCTGATCCCCGGGCGCATCCTTGCTCCAGTCTACCTCCCTTGAGGACCCCTTCTGGCCCTCCAACGCCTATTCCCTGGGCTACCAAAATCAAGTCTTGGGCCCCCAACTTCGTATAGAACCCGGGGATCGCCTGGACACCTCATAAGACTCCCTTTGGCCTCGTTTGGGGTATTTCTCAGCATGCGAATTTCGACGTCGTCTTTGGGCACGCTATGGGATCCATTTTGGATGAGGAGAACAATTCTTGTTTGAAAATGTTGATCTGGCCTGCGCGCCAGGCACATTCGCCTTAAAAGTTTTGGGCGGCTGCGCGGATGGAGTGGGAATTCTGGTTTACAATGTTGGTATCGCCATAGCGCCGCACACATCCGTCTTAAAGCTTCGAGCATTCTCACGTATAGAGAGAGTGGGTGGCGTTCGAACTGTAGCCCTCGTCGTAACGCCGCGCACATTCGTCTTAAACTGTCTTAGAATATTGCGCTAGTCGCACGTGTGGATGCAGGTTCGTTTTCAAATGGTAGCGCTCGTGTGACACCTCCTCAATCCTTACGGTCTGGAGCTCTTGCACAGCGTGTCGCGGCGGCGGCCCCGGCGACACGCTATGACCTGCAAGCTGGTAGCACTGGTTCTTCCTGAATATGCCCAGGGCGTTTTGTTTTCATACCGTTTTTTACTCGGCGTGAAAACGCCAAACAAACGATTAATTTTGCTTTGCGTGTTTAGCTACCCCGGATTCCATAATAAAGTCGGGGGGGGGGTCACATTTGGGGGGGGTCTGATTTGAGCTGTCTTGGAGGGTTCGGGGGGGTCTGGGCAAAGGGCCGCCCTTTCATGGATGGTCTGGGAGGGTCTAAAACTTCTCGTCTGGGAGGGTTGAGACCCCCTCCCGTTTATCACGAAATCTGGAGTACCGTCGTTTACGTGTTGTCGTATCGGTTGGTTGCATTGCTTCACGTGGCCGCCTACGACGTCCTCACTCCCTTCTCCTGGCGTGCAGTCCTCGGCCCTCTGGCTCTCTCAGCCCGCCTGCTCGTCGTCCTCAAAGAGCCCTGGCGCCCGGCCTCCGGGCCTGCTGGCCGATTGCCCCGCTGTTCCGCTTTAGCTCTGCGAGGGAGGGCGGCGGCAGAAACTAAAAGTGGGGTGAAGACAGCGGGGAAGACAAGGGACAACCTTCGACCAGAACATCGAGAACGCAAACACAAATGGATGGCTTACAACGACGGGCCCAACAACGCTAAACAACGAAGCTCAACACGCTAAAACAGCGTCGCTTTTTGTTGTTGTTTTGTCTTTGTTTTTGTTAAAGCGTTTTTAGCTTGTCAAAAGCCCCAAGTGCAAGACGGTAAAACATGCCCAGTGCGTTTTTAAGAAGAACCGAGCTGATAGCGTGTCGCTTCGCTCCGCGGGGCGGGAGCTTAGGAAAAGCTCTAGACATGGACACTTGGGGACTGGTAAGTGGTTCGCGGGTCGCGCCGAAGTGTCGTAGGCCAGAACCGGCCACGCGAGACACTAAGCCAATGCTCCTTTGCAACAAAAGATTGCAAAGGTGTGCAAACAGTCGCATAGGTGGAGGGCGGCTCGTTCTAAAAGTGGGGCTTGGACATCTCATCGGGCTTTACGATACTACCTCGTCGCCGCCCTCCCAGCTTTAGACGCACGGGCGGCAGCTCCTTTCCAGAATGAGGCCCTGGCCTAACTTGCAAGACGATTGAGCGCTCGTCTTTCAAGGGGGTACTGCCCGCTGTGAAAAAAAGGAATGCGTGGGGGCCTTATGGGTAAGGGGACTTCGGGCGGGCGGGCGTATTGCAGCATCGCTGATGCATATTGGGTTTACCCTGGCCCTCCTCCAATCCTCTGGCCCCCTCCCCCCCCCCTCCGCCCTCCCATCCTCCTCGCCCCTCCTGCTCCTCCCCGCCCCTTCCTCCTCCTCTTCTCCTCTTCTCCTCCTCCTCCTCTTCCTCCTCCTCCTCCTCCTGCTCCCCCTCCTCCTCCTCCTCCTCCTCCTCCTCCTCCTCCTCCTCCTCCTCCTCCTCCTCCTCCTCCTCCTCCTCCTGCTCCTCCTCTTACTACCCTCCCTAGGTCCTCTCTCGGTCGCGCGCGCGGGGCCGGGCACCGCGAAGAAAAAGTCCTCCGCTGCAAAGTCTTCCGTGGTCGGCGCGAAGTCTGGAGGGGTTGGGGGCGAAGCTCCCGCTCCTCTCAGCCCTCCTTTGTCCCCGTCGCGTCCCCCCTCCATCCTCCCTCCTCCACTCCCTTTCCTCCTCGTCCCCTCGCCCTCGCCCCTCGCCTCCTCGCCCTCGTCCTCCTCGTCCTCGGCATCCTCGTCCTTGTCCTCGTATGTCCTCGTCCTGCTCGCTCTTTCTCCCCCTCATTCTCCTCGTCCTCCTCCTCGTCCGCCGACGGACCTGAACTCCGCCTTTCGTGGCTCCCTCTTAAGACGCGGGGCCTCTGGAGCCCAAGCGGCCCCTCATCCCCAGGACCATCCGCCCGCTGCCCGCAACCAAACCTTGCTCATCGGGCCACCGGGGGGCCCATGTTCCCCCCCATGCTTAATGGGGCTTCGGTTTTCTCCCCACCCGCGTCTCACCCGCGTCTCCTCCTTCTCCTCCTCGTCATTTTCGCTCGTTCACTCATTACACATACGCACACATGCATGACAGCGCAGGGCTCGGCGGCCGTGGCACCTTCTCGGCACAAAAAGGGGGTGCGCAGGGGGTTGTCCCTGAGCGCGGCCTCTATGCGGGCCCAGGCGCAAGGCATGGCAAGTGCGGCATTTTCTCGACGCCAGAGGCGGTGCGCAGCGGGTGGTCCCTGCGCACGGTCTCTATAGATGCATGCCGTGGCGCAGGGCACGGCAGGCGTAGCATTTTTTCTACACCAGGCAGGGTGCGAAGGGGGCGGTCCCTCTCTGTGCGGGGCGCAAAGCGCGGCAAGCGCGGCACTGTCCCAACACCAGAGGCGGTCCGCCGGGATTGGTCCAAGCACGCGATCCGCTACAGGGCACAGGAAGTAAAACGGCGGAGGTGTTTAAAGATACTGTCGATAAAGAACCCAAGGGCTCGCGACCGATGGGCGGCCAAACGTGGGCCACCCACATCGCCTTAACACAATCAAGAATGCGCCAGGGTCTGGGCCCCAGGAAGGCATTCCTTATCCAATGCCGCCGCCGTACTCATAGTGGCAGCGGGAATGGTAATGGTAGTCGTAACAACAGAACTGGTGATAGGGGAAAGCACATGGTTATACGAGTGCGAGCAGTAGGCGGAATAGTTTGTCGTCGTCGCCGTAGCAGTAGTAGCAGTAGTAGTAGTAGTAGTAGTAGTAGTAGTAGTAGTAGTAGTAGTAGTAGTAGTAGTAGTAGTAGTAGTAGTAGTAGTAGTAGTAGTAGTAGTAGTAGTAGTAGTAGTAGTAGTAGTAGTAGTAGTAGTAGTAGTAGTAGTAGTAGTAGTAGTAGTAGTAGTAGTAGTAGTAGTAGTAGTAGTAGTAGTAGTAGTAGTAGTAGTAGTAGTAGTAGTAGTAGTAGTAGTAGTAGTAGTAGTAGTAGTAGTAGTAGTAGTAGTAGTACTACTAGTAGTACTAGTAGTAGTAGTAGTAGTAGTAATAGTCGTGCTAGAAAAACTACTCCGACAGTAGGACCCCGCACGAGAATCTGTTTAGCTTACCCTTTGCCCTTTCCTCCTCCCCCTGGCGGACACCCTCTCCTCTCGCCCCCTGCACTGCCCTCTCTTCCCCCTTCTATTTCTCTTCCTCCTCCTCTTTCTCCTCCTCTTTCTCCTCCTCCTCCTCCTCCTCCTCCTCCTCCTCCTCCTCCTCCTCCTCCTCCTCCTCCTCCTCCTCCTCCTCCTCCTCCTCCTCCTCCTCTCGCGCCACCTCCTCCTCGTCGTCGGCCTCCCCCATGCCCCTTCCCTCCTCATCCCCCTGCCTTTTCTCCATGTGCACCTCCCCTTCCCCCTCGTCGGGGCAAGCAAATCCATTTTCCTCAGCGCCGTCGCCGCCTCGGCCAGCGCGCGCGCGTCTGCCGACGGCTAGATCGCGAAGCCGTCGGGACAAACCTTCGGGCTGGGCCGTTGGCTCCCGCTCGAGACTTCCTCCATATTCAGGTCTCAAGAGCCCAAAAGTGACGACAGTTGCACGTTGCGGATGACCCGCTCGGATTCGAACATGAAGTGCGGGCTGGCTCCCGCCTGAGACTTCCTCACAATTCACTCACAGACGAGGCTCCCGCTCGAGACGTCCTCCATATTCAGGTCTCAGGAGCCCAAAAGTGACGACAGTTGCACGTTGCGGATGACCCGCTCGGATTCGAACAAGAAGTGCGGGCCCCATAGGGAGGGGGCTCCCGCCTGAGACTTCCTCACAATTCACTCACAGACGAGGCTCCCGCTCGAGGCTTCCTCCATATTCAAGCCTCAAGAGCCCAAAAGTGACGACAGTTACACGTTGCGGATGACCCGCTCGGATTCGAACATGAAGTGCGGGCCCCATAGGGAGGGGGCTCCCGCCTGAGACTTCCTCACAATTCATTCACAAACGAGGTTCCCGCTCGAGACTTCCTCCATATTCACGTCTCAAGAGCCCAAAAGTGACGACAGTTGCACGTTGCGGATGACCCGCTCGGATTCGAACATGAAGTGCGGGCCCCATAGGGAGGGGGCTACCGCCTGAGACTTCTTCACAATTCACTCACAGACGAGGCTCCCGCTCGAGACTTCCTCCATATTCAAATCTCAAGAGCCCAAACGTGACGACAATTGCACGTTGCGGATGACCCGCTCGGATTCGAACATGAAGTGCGGGCCCCATAGGGAGGGGGCCCCCGCCTGAGACTTCCTGCAATTCACTCACAGACGAGGCTCCCGCTCGAGCTTCCTCCATATTGAAGTCTCAAGAGCCCAAAAGTGACGACAGTTGCACGTTGCGGATGACCCGCTCGGATTCGAACATGAAGTGCGGGCCCCATAGGGAGGGGGCTCCCGCCTGAGACTTCCTCACAATTCACTCACAGACGAGGCTCCCGCCTCACAGTGTGAGTGAGTGTGAGTGTGATTGAGTGGTGATGATGATGAGTGAGTGAGTGAGTGTGCGAAGGCAGAAGAGGAGAGGGGGTGGGGTGAGTGTTCCTGCGCGGGGTGTGCAGAGAAAACAAGAACCCCACTTTGGATGTGGGAAAAAAAGTAGTCGAACACTTAGTAGCAGTAGGAGTAGTAATGGTTAGAGTAGTAGTGGTAAAAGTAGTAGTGGTAGTAGTAGAAGTAGTGGTAGTAGTAGTAGTAATAAAAAATTGTTGTTGTCGTAGTCGTGATAGTAGTAGTAGTCGTAGTAGTACTAGTAGTAGTAGTAGTAGTAGTAGTAGTAGTAATAGTAGTAGTAGTAGTAGTAGTAGTAGTAGTAGTAATAGTAGTGGTGGTAGTCGTAACATTCGTCTTAGTAATAGTCGTAGTAGAAGTAGTGGTACAGTCGTAGTACTCCTGGTAGTGGTTGTAGTAGTAGTCGATGTAAATATGCGAGTGGATGGTGTAGTCGTAGTAGTAATAGTTGTAAAGCTCGTGGTCGTAGTCGTACTGGTAGTAGTAGTCGTCGTAGTAGTAGTAATAAAACTATTAATAGTAATAGTAGCAGTAGTACTAGTAGTAGTAGTAGTAATAGTAGTAATAGTAGAAGTTGTAGTGGTAATCGTATAAGTAGTAGTAGTAGTAGTAGTAGTAGTAGTAGTGGTAGTAGTAGTCCCAACAGTACTAATAGTAACAAATGTAGTAGCACAAGTAGCCGCAGTAGCAGTAATAGTAGTGGTAGTACTAGTAATAGTAGTAGTGGTAGTAGTGGTTGGTGTAGTAGTAGTAGTAGAAGTAGTAGTAGTAGTAGTAGTAGTAGTAGTAGTAGCAGTAGTGATCGTAGTAGTAGTAGTAGTAGTAGTAGGAGGAGTAGTAGTAGATGGCATCTGCCAGTAGTCACAGAAGTAGTAGTAGCAGTAGTAGCAATAGTGGTAGAAGTAGTAGTAAAAGTAATAGTACTAGTAGTTGTGGTAGTAGTGGCAGTGGCCGTAGTAGTGCCACAAGTAGTAGTAGTAGCAACAGTACAAGTAGTAGTAGCAATAATATTGGTAGCAATCAGTAGTAGTAGAAGCTGAAGTGCTAGTCGTAGTAGTAACCATATGAATATTTCTAAGAGCGATGGTAGAGTAGTTGTGGTAGTCGTTGAAATTGTAGTAGCAGTACCTGCGGCAATACTACCTGCAGTCGGCGTATTACTGGTAGCTCTCGTCCAATTAATCAAGCAGGTGGTGGGGGTCGCCGGGCTAGTAGCACTAGTAGCACTAGTAGTAGTAATAGTAGTAGTAGTAGTAGTAGTAGTAGTAGTAGTAGTAGTAGTAGTAGTAATAGTAATAGTCGTAGTAGTAGTAGCAGTAGTAGTCGTAGAGGAAGAAGAAGTAGTAGTAGTAGTAGTAGTAGTAGTAGTACTAGTCGTAGTAGTAGCGATAGTACTACAAGTGATTATAATAGTATTGGTTATGGTAGTAGTAATCGTATAAGTAGTAGTAGTAGTAGTCGTAGTAGTAGTAGTAGTAGTAGTAGTAGTAGTAATCGTAGTAGTAAGCGTAGTCGCCGTCGCGGCAGTACTCGGACTAGTAGTAGTATCCGTCGTAGTGGTAGCAAAAGAAGTGGTAGTCGTAGTAGTAGTAGTAGTAATCATAGTAATCGGCATCGGGGTAGTAGTACTAGTAGTAGTAGTAGTAGTAGCGGCAACTGTACTAGTAGTAGTCGTATGAGTGTTTGTGGTGGTAGTAGTAGTAGCAGAAATAGTTGTAGTAGTCGTCGTCGTGCTAGTAGTAGTAGTAGTAGTAGTAGTAATAGTAGTAGTAGTAGTAGTAGTAGTAGTAGTAGTAGTATTAGTAGTAGTAGTAGTAATCGGAATAGGGGCGATCGTAGTAGCAGTGGTAGTAATGCATGGGAAGCGTAGTAGTAGTAGTAGTAGTAGTAGTAGCAGTAGTAGCAGTAGTAGTAGTAGTAGTAGTAGTAGTAGTAGTAGTAGTAGTAGTAGTTGCAGACATGAGAACAGTAGTCGTCGTAGTAGTAGTAGTAGTAGTAGTAGTAGTAGTAGTAGTAGAAGTAGTGGTCGTAGTTGTAGTAGTAGTAGTAGTAGTAGTAGTAGTAGTAGTAGTAGTAGTA